CTCTGGCACTACCTGTGCTACTGCTCAAGGAGAAGGTGTGGTACTGTATGCTTTGTCCAAGGCTTTGTGGGGACCAACCCACTCCACCTCTCCCACATGTCCCTCCCACACAGGAGGGACACTGAGCCAGAAAGACATGTCCAGCCTCTAAAAACAATAGTGGCATGCAGAGAGCTCCAGACTTCTGACTGAAGAAGCAAGCATTTTCCCCCTAGGGTTTTAGGATGTGCCCTCAGAAAAACAAGGAACTGAGTAAACCACTAAAAGCTGGCACTGCAAAGGCAATGACTTCAGCATGCCCAGCATTTACAGAACATCCAAGACCTTCTAAACAAACTGCCAATTAGCTTGTCTATAGGTGTCCAGCTCTTGCCATTAGAGCAGGGAGCCTTTCCCTGAATAACTGTCTATAGCTGAAACTATCTCTTGAGAAGTCCTAGGAAGGGATTTGACATTTTTCTTCAAATGCTTTTACACAGCAGGGAAGGTGAAATCCCTAGTGAACCAGGTTCCATTTTAATTTCTGGATGTCCATAGAGAAAGAAATAATATTGCTGACTATAATATTGTCAATAAAATAATGTTATTTCCATTACAGACAACATATAAAATGTTTTTTTGCTCCCTGGGGAAGAGGAAAGGAGTTGACAGTGTTTTTGTACAAAACCATCAGAGGCCCAGTACAGAGCAAAATGATGGTTTAGGCACTGAAGAAATTTATCCAGTTTTTCCTGAAGAAAAATAACCCATGGCAAAAATTCAGTTCCCCACAAAAGGCACAGCTTCTTTGCAGGGAAAAAAGCTCAGGCTGGGACAATGTTGTGGCAGATATAGGTAATGGCAAGAGAGAAAATCCTGTTATTTAAAAATGCCACTTGTGCATCTTTTTACTTCCTAAGGTAAAGACATCTTTATCCAGTGCAACAACTCAGCTCACATCAAGGTGAATTTCCAGTAGAATGCTACGGCTTCCAGAACAAGTCATGAATATTTGATGTGCCCTTTAAATATCTTAGTACCATCTCTTTAAAAGAATTATCCTTGCACAGACCAATGAATCTTGCATAGAAATTTACTTCTCTCCTCTGCTTCCCTAACTCCCATTTTAAAAAGCATACAAATAACTTTCATCTAAGCATGTTTTCCCATCTAATCTCCAGAATGAAAAACGAAACCTAATATTTTTCAGGTATTGTTAATCCTGCTTTGACACAGAGGGATGGATTAGCAAATCAGAGTCTCTTCAAGATCCTTTATTTTTTACTACTTTATGATCAAACCTGGTTTTGCTAGCATCAGTTCCCACATCTCTCCTATGTATTTATGTTTATATTCACTGAAGCAGCAGATTTCTGAGACTATCAGAAGTAAAATATCCCTTAATATTTTCTGAGTTCAGGCTCCCTCTCTATATTCTTTGCAGAAGAGAACATTATGAGCCCTTTTAAGCAGGACCCTTGTGCCATCCTGTCTGCATGACACTAATCCTGTAATGACACTAGAAGGCCAGATGGAGAGAACAGAAACTGGTAGAGTGGTACATCCAACCTGCAGAACAGACCTTTGCTGCAAACGGTCTACCCTGCCCATGCCACCACCTTAGAAGAAACATTACCTTTGCTATTATCTGTATTACCTTTGAGAATGACCTGGCCTTGAGAGTGGGGACAAGCAGCACATGTGGACTCAAGCCCAGCTTCAGGGTTGACATTACACATAAATATCAATGCAATCCTGGGTACTGCTATGGACTTGTCACCGCAGGATCTCAGTATTTTTTGACAGAGATGTGTCTGCTCAAGTGGGAAATATGCTATTACTGACCAACACGAGTGAGGGACTGTGATCCAAATATTCTAAAGGGGGGTTCACAGAGCAGATAAGGGGCCAGAGCCAGATAGCTGTGCTGGCATGATATGCTAGCCAGCATGACTGAATTGTGTAACACAAATACCTGGTGATCTTTACCTCACTGAGGTGTACCCAAGCAGCCATACCCTCAGAGCACACCCAAAAAGGCACGTAGGGTCTTACTGCCAGCAGATAACAGTACTGGTTTGCTTCATTAGAAGACAGACTGTGAGGCTATGCAGCTTATGACTTACTTTTAACGGTAGCCATATGAACACAGAAATCATACCTACTCTGTAAAAATAAATCTTTACATGCAGAAGATTAAAACTTACACTGTCTGAGCAAACACCAAAATATTTCAGGAAAATGCAGAAGTTTCAAATCCAGAAAGAAACAATTAAGTGAAAGGAAGGAAGAAAAAAACCTTATGACTAAGAATGACAAACATATGGGGCTACAGAATCCAGGCAAATTTGTAGCATCTTTAAATGATCTCTCTGAAGAGAAGAAGACAACTTTGTAAGAGTGATTCTAGACAATAATAAAAAGCTGCTGTAAAACTTATGGCTTACTTATGCAATCTCCATTTACCATATATTTACTGAGGTTCCCTCTCTCGATGTTTCGAGGCACCAGTCTTTTCTCAGCAGCATGAAGAAAACAGGCATTCCCCTCGACCCATTCCCAACCCCGTTCCAGGTTTTTAAGTCACAGGTGACATAATTTGCTATCAGCTGCTACTGTGAATTCTAATGGATTATTATGCTGCCCACTGATCCGCTATGTCAAAATGGCTAATTAAACACACTGAAGAAAGACTGGTGATACCTCCGGAGATCCACCAGTGCAGCATGATATCCGATTTCAGCTGAACAAGAAAAGTGTCTGTTTCTTATCTTACAATCAACACACATTATAGACTTATTACAAGTTTGAAAAGTACTGTCTTCTATTTCCAGTATGAATATGCCATACATAGGTTAACAAAATACTCTGATATTTAAATATTCCATTTCCATATCTACATTATTTTTTTAAAAATTATTAACGAAAGTCAGAAGAGCTAGCACACTATAAATGCATCTTTATGTTTTTTACCAATGAAATATAGATTCCAAGAGAAAACCCCAGATCTTTAACCTAAATATCTTTCCATTTACAGATGCAGTGGAGGCCTTCACTTTCCTTCAGTACCAAGGTCAAGCTCTGGAAATGGAAATAAATGTGGGTGTGGTGAGGGAGATCCTGAGTCCATTTTTAAACTGAGTTTATTTACAGACTTAAATCCCTGACCACATGATGATACTCCTTTGATCATTTCTTTGCATTTACCCTAATACAAGTATAAAATACACAACAATTTTAGAGGGCAGGATCGGACCAAATGTCTCTAATAATTTGTATGCTGTTGTGACTGGGGGTCTTCAGTGGTTGTTAAATATGTCCTATTCTGACCTGGAATTCCAACCCACTGTTTGAAGACATGAAGACATCCCAAAGACAGCCTGCTACTAAGGCAGCCAGAGTACTACTTTTGTTCTGGGCAAAGGAGGGAATGGTTAGTGAAAGAGATCCTACCAGTTGTTTGATGTGCAAAGCGATAAAAATTTAAGACACTTATTGATTTACCTCCACTGGCAGGCACAAGGATTGAACTAGATGTCCTTACTGGTTCTTTCTAGTTTGCTTACAGCAACTTCCCTAAAGAAGGCAAAGTGACAGGCTCCCTAGGCAAACCAAAATGAGACTTGCATATAAACAAGCTCAAGGCTTCTTACTCATGAATGATTAAGATGAAGAATATTGTAGAAGCAGTGGGGAAAAACAACTGAGCCATTTTCTTAAAAGACAGCAATTCTATGAAAGATGTTTCTGGCCTTACAGGCAACCCAACTGCTTTCTTACAAAAAAACCCTTGTGACAGCAGAGGTATTGAAAATGTACATGATGAAAGTGTACCAAGGGTAATGATCCTCTCCTGCCTCTTTTGGATGACCCTTCTCAAATTAGCCAAAACTACCATGGGGAACTTCTTCAATCAAAAACCTGTGTTACATATTACCACAGGTGAAACAAGGTACCAGGGGGTGAAGTTCATCAAAGGGTACCACTTGTTGCCAACCTCTATTCTGACACACAATCTGCAGTCGCAAGACAAGTGGAAGTTACTATTGATTTGTTCTGACTGCTTTAGAAGTGCAACCGCTTTCTGCTTCTCTCATCTTTCACATCATTAATTATCTTGAAAGAAAGCACAGTGTACAGACAAGGCTTGTTATGGAGAAAACTGTACGACTGAACATGAGGTGACAGTACAAGAACACGACTGCAGTACCACAGGATTAGCACAGGCAGATTATTTTGCCTTTAATAATGCCTCTGAAGGTATAGTCACTAATAAGCACTTCTGACACACAGACTAGTTCTCTTTGGTTATAAAAAGAAAGTAACCTTTCAGGAACTTTTCCACTCTTTTTACTGAATACATCCTGGATCACAATTTTTTAATTTACAGTCTTGGGCAAGAAAAAGACCGACTACTGAATTTCTCACCATCCTAACCCTGTCCTCCAACCCTCTGTCCAACACACTCACACATGCAGTCACGTGCAGATCCACTAATTCATGTTCTAGTCCTGCAACAGGCTCTCACAATGGCAACAAGAGCAGAACATGGAGCAATCAGGATAGGTTCTAGCGAATTCTAGTTACAGCATGAGGTATAACAGATATTGCATTTCAGCTGTCAAATTTGGTTAGCAGAAGCTCTCCACAGAAAAATTCAGCCCTCTGCGGAAAACAAGGTCAGCGATTCAAGACTCAGTACATTTCCTCTTATTCAGTCCTAGCCATAGCCTTGAAATGAAGTGATAAAGAAAGGTTCCTTTCAGCCTCAGTGCCCACATTTCAGAAGGATGTATCTATCTAATGCAGTATCATATACTCAGGAGAATAAATAAAACACTACGGGATTCTTGACTTCAGCTATCATTGGACTTCTTCCTTTTTTTTTTTTACCTCTAAACTGGAATGCTCTGAAACTGTGTTTACACACCCTGTTTAAGGATGCTAGGTGTTCCCTAGAGTCTCACATTCATTTCTGCTCAGAATGCCCAAGCTCCTCTCAGCACAACTTCCCCTTTTACCTTCTGTCGTTGCTGAATGTTGCTCATTGCGTCTGGCTGAAACTCCAGCTTGTCTGTTCGGCAAAGTTTCCAGTATAAAATAATAACGATCAGGAGCACCACAGCAACTGGGACTGCCACACCAACGATAATCCACAGGTTGCTGTTCTGCGACTCTGAAGCGGACTCCTTCAGCTTCTCCACAGCTGTGAAGTCAAAAGGAAGACAAGCAGTATTATGTGGTTATATTTTAAACTGAGGACGCTTCAAGGTTATGTATTTTTATGTTCTTATAAATGCTAGTTAAAGAACTTATCAGAAACCAGCTGCACATCACAGGAAATGTCACACCACTTACACGTTAAGGTATGTCATGCTCAGGAAGCATGGGGCAGGTGGATTGATTGTCCTGGCCTACCTTCGGAAGACCTGTGCTTAAAATACTAATGAAAACGCACTTCTACCACATTATTCTGTAACCCAAAGCTGAGCTGACACAGTGAAATGGGTCTAAAAAAAAAGACTCTACTGCTGGCAAAGGTAAGATGGACTTTCCAACATTTTTGCCTGTTTCCTGCTTTAAGCAGTATTATCAGCTGCCTCTTCTCTTTATACATTTTGTTACCTTCCCCATCAATAATCACAATCAATTTGAAATCAGTGAGACCTTCCTCCTCAACATGTATAGTTCTGCATTTTTCATTACTTTTTTTCCTTTCCCTGTTTCATTGTCAGTGTGTGAGATCCTTTAGCCCCAAACAGAGAACAAAACTACTGGAAAGTGTAATCAAACAAGTCATGCCTGTAAAAAGTAAACTGGAAGAACTGACAAAACTTTCATTTGCTCTATTTTGCATAGTGGTTAGATGTGGAACTAAAAACCAGAGCAGTAAAACATTTCTAGTCAAACTGCTGCACTTGTAAAAATGAGGTTTTCAAGTTAAAAAGAGTATTTATATGCATTTATTTGTATATATTATTTTACTAAAAGCCATTCTAACGATGAACCTAGAGCTTAAAGGAACATATAATTCTTATATTTTATACATCTGACAGCTAATTTACAACATTATGTTTTCTGTTAAAAAATAACCTTTTTTGTCTAGTTTCTTCCAATAAGAAGCATTTAAAGACTTCTATGATTCTATGACTCTTAGAAGAACTTTCTAATGACGTGTCAAAGATAACAAGCTTCAACATGCACAATAAGCTATAAATACTTCATGAAGTTTGTTCAACATATCATTTTTGTAAAGAGAATTTATTCTTGCAACTTTTTGCATTTCTGTCTAACCAGTATTATAGTCCTTTAATGGATACTAAGCGGATGTATATGAGCTACTGACCTAATCTGTACACAACTGTTTTAATGAGGGACAAAATTTAGAAACACATCCAGATGGTGCAATTATTACTATTTTCTTTCTTTTCTTTCCGCAGAGAATTTTAAAAATCAGACACATGCTTGTTCTGTTGGCAAAATACCCTGTGGTACAATGTAACTCATGCCTCCATATTGCATGAAAAAGGTAATTAAGCATTCATACCAATGAGGTATTTTGCAGATCATACTTGTCTGTTCCTGTTTTAAAATACCTTCAAGTGTTCTTTCCTAATTGTAATGCGGAATTTTGAGTAGTCTTCTGTCTCACTACTTACTGAAGCCTCCTGAATAAAGTCATTATGTAACTTTATATGACCTGTAATATTTATTCTGATGTGTATCTAGTTAAAGATCACATTACTTCTACATTATATTCATTAAAAGATCACATTACTTATATATTACTTATGGGCAAACAAATAAAGTCAGTCATATTCAATGCAGGAAATAAATGCCCCAACCAGCAATAGTGTACATTTTTCACTCACAGAAAAAGTAATTCAGACAAAAAAAACCCAGCAACTTGTGCTAAACTTCACTGCTATTACTCAGCTAAAGGAAACACCTATCTCACACAGATGCCCTCCCATCCCACAACGCTGAGGTTTATGCAAGCTCCTGGGCAAGATAAACTGTAAAGAAATATTGGACTAGCAGGAATAGATGAAAATGGCAAGAAGGCTTTTAGTTAGCACAGCACTTTTCTAGCTCAAGCACTAAAGTGAACACAGTGAGGCTTGACTTAAGGACCCTGTTGCAGCCCCAAGCTCAGCAGAGTCTTCAAGAAGCAAAGCGACACCTCATAGCTCACTGCATGGCTGCTAAAATTTATTTTCTCAGGAGTGTCAAAGCTGCAGCATTCCAAGAACAAAACACTGCAACAGTGGGCACTGTGCAGTGCCATAACCTACAAAGCTAATGTCACCCTTCCTGTTTGTCTTTGCTGGCATCAGTGTGGTTTTGACAGGGCTTACGCTGTGCAACGGTGCCATCGATGCGGTATCCAAGGATGATTGCAGCCCGCTGGATATCAACTCTGTTCATCAGGTCTGAGCACTTCAGAGCGCTCAGTCTCTCTCCATCTTGGTCTTCCACGAAATATATCAGCTCCACAGGGTTATCAACACCAACTAATCGTGACACATTCACAATCTGAAAGGAAATTGGAAAGCTTTTACATTTTAAGTTGTATTTATTTGGCGCTCCCATGGTCTTTCAGTCCATACTCTCTCCTCTTCCTTCCTTATCTCAAAATAAATACTGGTGCCATCTTGGCAAAGTTCTTCAAAGTATTTGTCTTGCCACAGTGTGCAAACCCCACTGCATAAAAACGATTGCACCTTGTTTTTATCAGGTAGAAATACAATTGTTATTAAAGAAAAACCCTTTATCTGTGACACTAAATAATATGGTATTATACTAACCATGTAACTGCTATGAAGTAGTACAGTTTGGAAATTGTTAATATCCAGAGAAGTCTGATGGGAAGATGTGCTGTGTGTAGTGCTCCAAAACACTGTATACAGCAAAGGGAACATTGACTATTCTCCCACCTGAGAAGAGCTCAAGTCAACACTGGACAAACAGAGCTAACATTAAGCAATAGTAATTTGCTTCCAAACTAAAATTCAGGATACTTTCACCTAGTACTTATACAAAAGATTCTGAGTGGAAGTCATCCAGAGGAAGACAACATTGCTGGAATAATATATAAGAGCCTAATTACACAGGCACTACTCAAGTGCTCCAGAATCCTGGGAAATTTACAGAAATACCTATTTTGTAACTGAAAGGAAAATTTCCAGGGAAGCAATCCCTTGTGTAATACATTTTTATGGTAAATCTGAAATTTCAATTTTCCCCCCCACCATTTGTTTCATAACAACATACAGATCTGATAAGCAAGAGAACTGCTTTTTCTCTAAAGATGCCAACACTGTGCCACCCTGGAAGCCTCTACTGCCTTTAGCAATTGTCACTTAGTAGGAACTACTGAAAAGAATAGTGTGACTGCACTTTTCCCCTTCTCTAAATACCTACTTTGACTTTGATTTGTTATTTGTAACACACACACCTCTTTGTTCAAGTTTTTCCAAATGTTAAGCAGCCACACAAGCGAATATTCTGTTAGCATCAAATAAAACTGTTTGCTCTGCCTCAACAAAAGCACTTGCACAGTCACCTTCATCCTCCAAACGCTCCCCCTGGCATCCACCTTTCTTCAGGAAGGAATGTATTTGATGCTGTGGGAAGCAATTCTTCCTACCTAGTTCTAAAGACACTAATAATCAAAAGAATGCATGCTATGAGGAAGCCCTGTAGATACTCTCTAACCACCAAACATCTACATTGCATATGAGAATCAAATAACTTTGAATTCCTGTAAAATTAAATCTTTATATATGACAACTCTCCTCATTTTAATCATTTACACGTAATGGTGAGCTCAAACAAGAACAAGGCCAAACAAATAGTGGGAGGTATTCTATTATGTAAAACAGAGTTTTAAGAACTCTAGAAGTAATTGGCACAAATAGAGGGATGTATTTTGGTTCTTTCAGAATTACCTTTTTGCTATGAAGTACGTATTTAATAAATTCTAATCTCAAACACTGCCCATAGGCTTCAAGTAAAGCAAACACACAAATGTTTGCATGTCTAAGGTTTACAAAAGCATAGCTTTGTATTGTTTTCTTTCCTAGTTTCCAACTAAACAATCACGTTGAAGGAAAGAAGTGCAATGTTCTAGCTTGACAGGGATAATATTCTGGTCTTTGGGGACACCACTTCAACATATCCTAAAAAAGCATTTTTAAGGATGGTAACAGCAATTTATAAATGTATAAAAAAGGCAGTGAAAATAAAAAAAAAAAAAAGGAAAAAAAGAAAGCACAATTGTCATAAAAGTCTTCCAGGACAAAGCAACTGAAAGCAAAGAATATTGTTCAGTGTCTGTCACATCTGATGTAAGAAACAGAGTGTGTACAAATAGAGCAGAAAAATGTGCAAATTTGAAAAAGAGCAAGACCTGCTAACAGGACCCATTAACCAACACTGCTGCTCATCCTGAATATTATTCACTATTGTACCAGCTAAGAGGCAATTTAAGGTAGCAAAACAATATCAATAAATAAGGTTTCAACACACATTCAGCAGCTGTAAGGCTGAAGTGGTTTCATGGACCCCAAATATATAATTCGTTAACGAATGTCCACAGCTTCGTATTATTTTTGCTTCAGTGGGTTGCCACAGCCCAACCTCAGTGCACAGAGCAGCAGGGTGTATGGACTGGTATTTGCTTTCAGCACAGATGAAACCTTTCTGAACAGCACTTAACTCACACAGAGGGTGAGGGAGTTGAAAGGCCACATGGGAAAAATCATGTTCTTCATTGTAATTTTATGAAACCCCTCTGTGCATAGCAAAGCTAGAGAATCAGAGAAATTTAGAAGATTCTTAAACTGAATTGTCATGTATTTTATGGTGCCTGTGAAGCACACAAGAAGCACTATGATTACGTGTGTTATACACACTGGGTAACAATCAGAATCTGACTGAATGGGTTAACAAGAAACTTCTCCCCAGTTGCCTTTAGAAAGGGCAGGGGATAAGAAGGACAAGCTTCCAATGCAAGTTGCCACAATTGAAACTATACAATTTTTAACACAAAATTAAAAACAACAGCATATGGCTCCCCATGTTGAGGAACAGAGATGGGTAAGAACAGCCAGAACAGAGACAGGAAGAAGTAGCTGCAGGTATTTCAGCACAGTATAGAGAACATGGCTATAAGAAACTCAGTGGAGGTACAGGCTAGTATTTATGAACTAAACTCATCATTTAAAGTTTTATGGGTACCTCAGTTTTCATCTCTGTCACGCTCATTCACTAGATTTTTTTAATTGATTGTTTTAACTAACCTCTATGTTAGTTGCAACACAGAAAATGGCACACTGGATCTGAACTGTTTTAAGCATGCTCACAGAACTAAGGCACACAGTCACTGTGCCTATATTTTACACAGTTTCTGTATATTAAGTTTTGTGGCATATAGTTCCAAATTACACTCTTTGCACAGTTTCAGACTGGTTTTGTCTCTACCCTTGAGAGTGCTAAGAATGCAAGCAGAAATATTATTTTCCAGGCATCCAGCAAAGCAGCCCATGTGTAAGGAAGCATTTAAACATTTTAAATTTATGCTCTGGCAGTGAGGGATGACATAGAGAGGGAGGACAGAATAATTTCAATACATGGGAGGTAGAAAGTGGAGGAAAAAAAAGAAAAAAAGAAGATACTAATTCAACTTCTGTGCACATAAATGATACTACTTTTGTTGATACTAGATGTGCATTTAACCTCCATAGAGGAAAGGCTTAACTGTGTTCAGGTGTCAGCAAATTTAATTTAAAAAGTGTTTTCAAGTGAATATCATAGGTTAGTGAACAGAGTTGCCTTGGTAACCAAATCTAGTTTGTAATGTAAAGCAGGGAAATCCAAGGGGTAGGGAAGCTCCCAAGGTGTTCGCAGGGGTCAGTCAGTCAGTGAGATGTCCTGGTCAGCAATCCACAAGGAGCAAGGAACCCCTGGATGAACTGTTTCAGGGTTTCAAAGGCATGAGCACCACTTAGACACAAGCAAACATGCACACACAACCTCCAAAATGCATGCATGAGGGTTATTTTCCTCTTTTCACTACATTCATCCCCTTGGGGAAAAAAATCATCAAACAGATTCTGCTTTCTGTCTTACTAAAAATAGGATTTTAGTGTCTGGGCAATTAAATCGAGCTGTGTTGGGGTCTGAACAGCACACAGAGGTAGGAACAGGCTGTGGGCAACCTGACAGAGGGGCTGGTTGCTGCCCAGGGTGGCGACTGGAGGGGTGAAAAGCCTCTGAGGAAAAGGTGAAGCAGCAGCAGTCCCCGAAAGCTTTATTTATAAACCTAAAAACTCACAGCAAGACTGGGGCTTTCCTCAGATTACACACTTGGGAGAGACATGTAAGCTGTCAGTAGAAAAACAACAGAATGAAACTTTGCCTTAATGAAAAGCTCAATGACGTCCCCTCATAGCTACTACTTTACACATTGCAACTAACATACTACTTAACATGTTACTTAAATCAGAACATTGCTCCTTTTGTCATTTACTGGGATCATCTTTTCACTTCTACTAGGTTTGAAAAACCAAGCACATTGAAATGAAGGAAAATTACTTAATTTTTTTTTTATTAGCTCCTACTGTATTTTTAAACTACAATTAAGTAATTTAATTCCTAAAAAAAACTAATGAGAATCGAGTTATTACAGTAAGCTATTGACAAAACATAGCACAGGTCTTAATCTCTGCAGAGGCAATGCAAACCACACTAAGCATGTGCCTTCAAATCTGCAGCAACAGCAGATGCACACTGAAAATATGTATGACTTACTAAGTGAAATATTAATACACATCATACAAAAATCAGTGGAACTATCTCATATATAAAATCAGGTGTGAGGCTTCAGGGTTTTTTTTATGTAATGGTTAAAGGCTTTTTTCTCTTTTTATCATGGAATGCCACCTGTTAATAGCACAGATAGGCAAACAGGAGGGGAAAGGATGATATCTGGGCACCCTCCAAAGATCTTATTCAGAGTGTCTAGACTTAAAGCACAAATTTTTTTACATTCTTAGATACTAACTCATGCCTTTAGAAATGAAATCTAAACCTCACAACGTATCACTTCTATTTCCTTAGTCTGTGAAAGGAAACTAATATGCCTGCAGTAACATTCACAAGTAATTGCTTCACCTCCTGACCTGCAGTCCTGATTTTCCACAGAGCTTAGAAATGTCACATTTCAGTACACTATAAATATCTATCACCCCAGGAAAAACTCTGGTCTATAGGGTCACAACACAAGCAAAATATAAGTCTAGTCTTTAATGGATATATGCACATCCTGTTAATAAAACTATCCAACACTTTGGTGTTGCTGGCAGCTTCTGTTCTTATTTTCACTTCCTTGTGCTCTACTATCATAGCAGTCATTGTATGGTGTGCAAGAAATATATGTGGGAAAATCTAAATATAAAGCACAAAATACATTACTAGTTCTCCCGGAAGACACAAACAGATGCAAAAATACAACACACTTCAAACAGAACTTATAAACTTGGCTATGAGGAACAGAATTAGCAGCAGTAAAAGGTTTATGGCAAATGACTATGGACCAGATCCTCAAGTGACAGAGAAACATCCTTGAAAGAAACTGTCCTTTACCCAGGAGCCCACTACCAGGTACATCAGTCCAGCTGCACGCAACAGCCTCCAAGGCTGCCTCACCTGCCACACATCCTGCCAAAGCAAGCTCCCAGGATGCTACAGTACCTGACAGTACCTGCTGTTCTCCTACAGGAAAGCAGGACACCTACCTCAGACACCTTGCAGCAAGGTATCTCTTCAGCCTTCATTCTTCCACATCTCCTTTATTACGGTTCTAACCCTGTTTAAAAGTGTGGGCTGTGACCACCTGGAGAAGCCCTGTGTTACATGGGATGGCAAGATGTGCTGATTGTAATGAAGACAATCTTCCTCTGCCCAAAGCCAGCAGTTGGCAGACTTTTTGCACTAATTAAGTGGCATAAATGAGCAACACTGTTTACTGGAACATGAGCTGCAGCCCTCATTTTATGTCCCAGCAAGTAATACAAAGTCAAAAGGAAAATGCTGTCTTTTCACTTTCCAAAATACTATTCTTCAGCTAAAAAAGATATGCCTGTAATTTTGTGCATGCAGAAATAAATTACCTGAGCTTTATTATCTAAAATCATGAAATCGTAATCTAAATATATATATTTTATAGGCTGTGGTTATCTTTCCTAGCAACATAAGGAATATTTGTTTAATTTATATGCAAAGGGAGGACTAAGGCATAAAGAACAAAGCGCAGTAAGAGGTGCTGGGAATAGAAGACCTGCAGCAGACATCTATTTACAGCAATTCAAAGCCATACAGAAGAAAAATAAAATAAAGTCTCTATTACAGAAACAGATGTTTCTGAGACAGAAAAACAAAAGTAAGAATATCCCAACATCTGGAGATTTAAGTGGTAGCAAAAACTGTACAATTAAATTAAATAAAGATAATAGGTCTGAACGACTAGAAGGGCATCTGCAAGGTAAACCAACTGTCAATGAATTAGCTGGAAAAGGTAATTTTTAAGAAGATGAGCCATTAGAAAGTACTTTGGTTTTCAGTTTGTAGAACTGACTAGAAAGAACACATGCCAGAATTTAAAACTGAAAATAAAAGACCCAAGTCTTCTTGGACTTTATGTGAATAACTCCATCTGTGACAAAACCCTAAAGCGGCACCGGAATCCAGGTAGTAGAAGTTGCCATGTGTGAAAAATTTGACATGATTAATTGTTTTTACCTGAAAGCCAGCCCTGTGACCAGGAGTCCTGTGACAAATAAGAAGTTAAGGGGCAGAATATACTACTCTATTGCTGCATCAAGCTACACACGATACTATTTTGTATTTCTACACCACTACCAGAACACCACAGAGAGCTGTGAAGTAGCTGTTCCAGCAGAATACTTTCTTTCAGATGACCATACCATCTCCTTTTGCTAGGTGCCTTGGGTAAGTCAGAGTAGACAGAAACTTTTTAAAATAGGATTTTGGTAAAATAATTTTCAATGTTGTTTTTAAGAAGTCATCAGAAATTTTTAGTAGATGTTTACAATAATCAGTTATTTACATTTGTTATATTTACCTTAAAAGACAACAAGGTATTCATAAGAACTATATTTTAGGTGCAAGACACAAGTATCATCAACTAGCTAAATGTGATACACGCTTTTGACTTACATTTCTCAACTCAAAACCTGGACAATATTAGCTTATTCAGTAATTTATTACCCTTTATATTTCTTCCTCTGATTCCAAGCTCTTAATACCTGCACAATGTTGCTTCCTGCAAAGCTGGCTCGCCTCCATATCCGCCCTCTGACCAAAGCCTCGTTCAGCAGGTGAGCAAGTTTCCGCTCCATCTCGGCCCGAAACACTTCCTCCTGAATTCGCTGGTCGACGACACCCAGGAGAACTACATTGCACAGAAACAAATTAATTAGCAAAACTTTTCAGTGTCTTTTCTGCAACTTCAGTTGCAGGCTTTGAGTTGCCCTGTGACAGCTCATGGACAATTCAAGAGCAGCTGTATTCACATGGGAATACTGTCCTGTTCAGCCGGAGGTTACATGTTGGAAAGGAAGGCATTGGGTGGGAAAAAGTTAAAAGAAGTTTAAAAAAAAGAAAATTTGGCAAAGGATTTTTTAACTAGGCTAGACAGACACAGGATATTGAAGAAACAGTTTCGATTTTGAAAATACATAAAATTATGAGCATTCAGTGAATTGTTAAAAAACTAATAGAAAATTTAGTCTAAATTTCAGTCAAAGAGCTGGAGATGGTGAGGACAAGGCAGAATCATGGAGAAAAACTATAACAACAGCATATGAACGAAGCTGTGCATTCAAGTGCAACTTCCCAAGATCAAGATAAACAAGCATGCCAATCACAGCACAAAAATATGGTTAGTAGCCCTGCCCACTTCACTTTCCAACCCAGGTATCCTGGGTCACTGGGGCAGCTAGTGATGAGAGGAATTCCCAAGGAAACATGAAAAAAAGGGTGGATGTTTACTGTCAAGATGGCATCCAGTTAAAGAAATGTGGAGTGAATGAAGTCACAGTCATTCAAATGACCTAACTGAGAAATCCTATAGGATAGTAAACCCACTCACTGCTGACTGAAGTAACAAATTCAGTTTTAATTCCCGTGCCTCTCCACTAAAACGATTTATATTTTTTAGAAGCCCCTTTTTCAGTAAGTGTTCCCACATTTATTTTTTCAAGTTTGGTGCTTAATAAAAAGCCATCCAATTAGATCAAATCAATTAAATGTAATTTAAATTTTTTTAGTTTTTAAAACAAAAATATTAGAAGCAGTTTTTCAATGTCAAGTTTTTCACTGCATATGTCAGAAAAAGGAAACATTTTCTTGATTTCTCACAGAGATCAACAGCATCTGTCTTCTAAATCCACTCACAGACTAAGTATCTCAGAATTAAATTGCAAAATATTTAGACAGTGACCTAAGGCTATTATATACACCAAATTGAAAACTGTTCCTGCCTATGTATTGGATTTCAGTATCAACAAATTATGCTCAATAGCATGAATTGTATTCTACAAGTGAGAGGGAGAATTACAGAGAACACTGCATATCCCAGCGTTTTATGACTATTGGGAAACATGCAAATATATCTGAGTAACTTGATATTAGAAACCTTTACATGCAAAAATTCTATCATTTCCCTGTGTCATGATTCATTACCCTTACGATACAATACATTGACTGAGAGGACTGATCCAGCCAAAATCTACTAGCTCTTCCCAGACTGCCTTCAAGGACTGGGATTGCAAAAAATTCCTCTACAGCAAAATGAAAAGTTGCTGCAATTAGCTTTCAAAATCTTACAGTCAGGTAGTTTATAAAAATCCAAGGGGACATGATTTCTGAGCTGGAAGAACCCTTTTCTTACTGCAAGATATAAGGGAACTTCCAGCAGCAAGGGACAAACCTAAGGCTGAGCAGAAGTGGGAGGGAGTATTAGAAAAAAAGCCAACATAAATCCCTAAGGAAGGGACATTGGATATTAGACACACACATGAGCTTCTCTCCTGCTAGCGAGCATTGTCTGAAATTCTAAATCTTTCTTCTGTAAAACAAATTGCGTGGGCTTCAGAAATTAAGCTACAACTTCATTTCCTGCTTAAAAAGTGATCGGTGGTGAGAGGAGACAGAGATGCCTGAAAAAAAGGTAAGTTCATGCAATAGGTGAACTACAGGTGATAAAGCTGTAGTAAAACAAAGGTGTATACAGTGGGACATCTGCACCCTAAGAGTCAGTTTGATAGGCACAGCCTGGTCACCATTTAGGCTTAAAAGCAGCAGGTAGGACCTACAGCATGCAGACAACCTCAACAGCCTTTGAGCATCTAAAGGTGACAGCTCAACCACATCTGTGAATGACAGAATAAAACATTCAGAAGACTTTGGTGGGAGGGACCTTCTACAGATGAATCAGAAGAGATCAATGAAATGTGATGAAACTCTTTCATGTACTGTTTCACTCTGTTTTATTCCTGGCATGTTTTGGTAGAAAATGCCACACAAGTAAAATTTTAATTTTCACTTAAAACAAAATAAAAACCTAAAAATCAATGTGACATATTGGCAGCATGCAGAGCAGACACTTTATGCCTGACAGTCTGAGTTGTTTCACAAAGAATGAACTGCCTTATAGACAAAAACTGCTTTGCATGCATTATCAAGGATTTGCAGTAGTTAATTCTAGACCAGGGAATTACATTTCCCAGATATTCCAGGTCACTAGGCTTTTGGTTTTAGAATTTCTTCAGCTCAGCCATTTATTACCTCATAAAATTGCAGCACCCCAAGCTATCAATATTTATGTAGGCTAGTTATCTCACTAATAAACATAATTGCACTCTTACTTACTCAGAGACTGTACATACCTGTTCTCACCCAGGAGGATTTCATCAACTGAGACACATTAAGCTTTGGATAATGAAAGGCTGAGGAAAAAACAGAATGGAGGAAAAACATCCATAAGAACAGTATTCTCAACAACATAACAGACACAAAAAAAGAAGCCACTTCATAATTTATACTGTCAGCAAGCATCTTATTTACACAGATGCATTACTGCTCCTGAGGCAATGCAGACACAACGGTAAGGAAAGTGCTCCGAACATACACTCCCCAGTTCATCTCTAACAAAAAGAAGCTAACTGAAACAGTCAGATTTATTATGGGAAAGATTTCAAGCTGCTGCACTGAGGTCATTGCTCCTAGAAATTTAAAAGCTCAGTGTCTGAATTCTGACTCTTACTGAGTTAGCTGCAGGATCAGACTTTTGCTCAAAGGGCGATGAGGCAACTCATGAGTGTCTCAGGATGAAAAAAAGACCTTCTCTGAGGCAGAAACTACATGGAAGCACTAAATGTAAAGCAGAGAACTAAATATATATGATTTGTGTTCCAGACTTGTGCAGGGGGAAGCATTTAAAAAAACCACACCACCTTGATTTAAAAAACAAAACAAAACAATTTAAAAAACCCCAAACACAAATAAGTGCAGGTAGAAACATTGCTATAGACCTGCCTCGTGGACTTTTGTGTTTGGCTTGATGGGTTCAAGCTTAATTTCTAAATTTTTCCAAAAAACCACTGCTCCAGAGTAAAATTCTTGCTCCAGTGAAGTAAAAATATCTATTTCTACTGACTTCAGTATGGATAAGATTTTTCCCAAGGTTTCCACTGGAGAGCAGTAAAGACATGTTGGGAAAGAAGTGAAGATGGGGGCTGGGCCAACAGTTTCCTCAAGGGAAGTTTTAAGCTTCACTACGGCAATATGGAAAAGGAACGGTCTTAACTTTCTCAAAATATTTAATCCAGATGCTATTTGCTAAGCATTATACAAAGGTTAATTTTTAAACCATTTCATGGATAGAAAGAATGCAGCACACAACAATTAAATGACTGGCCCATGCTGGATCAATTTAGAGTAAAGACATCTTCAGTTGTAGAATAGTTTGCCGCTATCGCATGTTTCAGAGAAACAGAAAATGACAATTTTTCTAATTTAATGATGTAGTAATTTATAGAGAAGCTGTCCTCTGTCAGTGTACCTAAAAACTGATTCTTCTGTCCCTTAAAAAGTTTAGGAATTCTATTGCTTAGGCAAAAGCCAAAGAATCACTAGTTACATTTACCTTTTATTTTCACAGATTTATAAATATTCCTATTGGGAATAAAAATTTGGTTATTCCACCTTCATTTCAATAACAGCACCACTGGTTTCAAGAGGACCACCGTGACTTAGTATTCAGAAGGATATCAGAACATGGTCCATTTTTTCTGAACAGGAAACTCTGGCCCTCTATACAAGTGATAAGGATGCATTAAATTTCCAAAACTCTCAGGCACACAAAAAGCACCTCACAGTCCATTTAAACACACACATTTATTTTTGGTATCCTGCTACTTGATTCCTCTGATTGTAGCTTTTCGATTGGAATTCTATTTATTCTGGTCACAGAATTGTTTACTTCAATTTAGATATACAACCTGAACAAAAAAAGCATAAACTAAACTGAATCTGTTGTTTTCCAAAGCATGGAAAGAGCATGATAAGGAAATCAAAAACCTTACAGTGACCATAATGCTTTGAACCGCTTGCAGTTGCGAGCTTTTTCTTCTTTTAAACCAAAATCATGTTTTGCTTCAATACTTAATGTGCTCTTCACACTTTTTCTAATTAGTACTTGAAAATGATTTAATTCATGCAAATTGCTGGGTGACTATTCACTTAAACTTTTCACAGAATTAATGCAATTTAAAAATAAACCAACTTGAGCAGAAAATCTTGACATTGAAAAGGAAGATGTGCTGTGATCATTGGCAACTAAGGTTGAGTTCTAAAACCCGAAGAAGAATGCACGAAATAATGCACACTTCTACAACTGAGAAGTGCTCAGAAGCAAATCCAGATTCTAACTCTTATTCCACAGGTCACTCATGTGTCCCACTAACACACATGGTCAGATTATGAGCTCATCTGGAGTCTCAGCACTGCAGCAAGATCATATTTGCAAGATTTCTAATGTTCCCTGGAACTAACAATTTAAACAGCACAAACTGATTGTTATTCTGAGGGGGAAGCTGGATAGACAAAATGCAATTATTAGTTAGATTGCAGCTGGTCTGCTAATGACTATAGATGCATTAATGAAGTAGATGCTAGCATCATTAGAAGATTCTAACAGGCAGCCCTGAAGCACCATACCGTGTAACAGCATCGATTCAACGCTGACTGAAAAGGCAAAGGGTCACCCAGTCACCCAGAGACCTACTGACAGCAGTCTGAAGCACATCACTCAGGCAGTGTGGCCTTTGCCAGATGCTCCAAGGATTTCTGACTCTCTCCTACAGAGATGTGTGGGACCACGCAGGATAGAACCTGTATTATATTGATTGTTCTTATTTCTCATAAATGGAGGGACGGTAATAAAAAGCATGGAGGGAATGCAGTATTTGGGGAAAGAAGGCATTAACTGAATAATAAGATTCCATGCAAATACCGGGGGTGTGAGCAATAGCAACACACTGTGTCTGTTAGAAACCTGATCCAAAATCCACCCAGAAAAAAACTGCCAAATATTTCTGCAGTCTTTGGACCGTATCATACAATTTCATATTATCCTATTGGCCTTGCAATATCTCTATGACAGCCAAAATAGATGACATGCATCAAAGTGCTACTTAGCACTGAAAAAATAGCAAGTCCCAAGGCAACTCTCTCTATTTAAAGTCATAATAAAAACAAAGAGATTTATTCAGGGGAAGTTCATGAAGGCAAATGCTGCTCATCAACTCCACAGCTAGCCTCTGCCTGTCTTCAAGACATTTTCCAGCCATAAAAAGATAATAAATATGTTATTTCCTATTATTTTTAATGAACTAGCACCCAAAACCTGTGATTAAACTTGGTTTTCTTTCTGTTGACATGTAGGTCACGACCATCTAACCAACTTACAATCTGAAACGTGAAATATAAGGTGGACAACATAAAATAAGCATGCTGGAAGGTGTAAACCTGACATTTGAATATAAGTATGTTGCTGAAGTCACCTAGAAGTCTTGTGAGGAAAGAAGAAAGTCTGGAAGTTTCCAGGTTTGGTCATTTCAGCAGCCCTATTCCTGCACAGAACAGTCCAATTCTGTCAAACTAGCAACTTTCACTACTGATCCTGACTCTGAGTGGGGAAAAAAAGCAGACAAAAAATTCCTGGTGCTAATGATGTACTGCACAGGGACAAACCCACATAGTTAAAAGTATAATCAGTTATATTTACATGAATAAAAACAGTGAGAGGACTGTGTGTGAAAGGCAATGCAAAACAACAAGTGGCAGGGAACAAATAGATTTCTTCCAACAAGGCTCATATTCAGGATATTGATGTGAAGGTCTCACTTCACTTAACAGTGAAGTGCACAAGCAGCTTTTCCTCAGTATGAATCAACTTCAACCCCCGAAGCTGGGAGTTGAGCCCTGACAGCTCAGCTCACCTACAGATATTTTCTTTTTCTTCAGATGCAGGCTATAAAATCATATACAGAGCCCTAAAGGGGAAAAAGAAAAGTTACCACCAAGAGTATTAACTGTTAGCATGCCTGATAACTAAGGCACAAATGGCATAGAACAGTAGGGCATGGAACATTTCATATTTACATAGAAACAATAACATACGTAAATTGTTTATATGTGAATATCCGTGATTCCCAGAAAAACTCATACTGAAAATAGAGGGCTGCATATTAATTTGCACAGACTAAAGCAGCTGTCTAAGGAAGACCTTCAGAACACCTTCACTGCTACAACTGCTTGGTGGACCAAGGCAGAGCATGAATGCAGAGATTTCAGGGTCTAGAAAACAAAAACATTGAGGCGTCTTCCTGCCAAAGTAGCTTTGAGGATCTGGCTGTTGGTCACCTTCAACAGACTGTTGCATAAGATGTCTCAAGAAGGATCTGCCCAGTGCTGCTGAGCCTTTGGACAGGATTTCTGGCTCTGAATACTGAAGATCTAAAATCCTTAGGCTCAAAATACAGTCACAGCAACAGTGCAAACAACTGCAGAAACAGCTAAAAATAACTGGGTGTGGTTGCCTCACTGACAAAAGTATTTGAGCTACATTCATTAATACTGGGTTCACTGACAGATGGACCCATAGGTCTAATAGTATGAGAAACTGTGCTCCCACTTTACCAACTTATCAAACAGCACCATATCTGGTATTCCAGAACAGTGGTTACAAACACATCGAGGCACTACTGAGACCAAATTAGAGTAATTCAAACAAAAATGTGCTGTCCTGCAGTGGGCTCAACCTACAGCAAATTTGAGTTCCTCTGACATCAAGCAAGTCAAATACTGACAAGATATTCCTTAATTTAGGATGCCATATCCATCAAATCCACGTTTTCTACATTGCAAACTTTGGAAAGACCTCATTGTTCCTAAAAATCCTGACCTCCTCACTCTTTCTACTTTACTTGGCTTTCTCATTGACATGTGAGCTACCACAGGACTCCACCACCATTGCTCTGGAATCATCACCAGGCACTATACACATGCAGGTAACACAGGCAGAGCTCCTGCTACAAGCAGGAAATTTCAAATTTCCTCAGTACCATCAAAAAAGGAAAAAAATAGAAACATAGAATTGTTTGGGCTGGAAAGGACCTTAAAGGTCATCTGGTTCCAACCCCAAGGAGAACAGTGTACATGCATTTTCAATAGGAACACTTTTCCTCTATGACCACCTTCTCTTTCAGGATACACTGGCCTTGGTAGAAATTGTTATCACTTAATTGCACTGTAGCTCCATTGCATAATCCAGAAGATGGATCTGCAGCAAGGGGTAACCTGCAAATGCACTAGAAATTATAATTTCAGAATATGTGGACAAAACTGAAAACTGTAAGACCCAATGTAGTATATCACAGGAGAAAAAAAGCCCCACAATCAAAAATATTACCCAAGAGACCAAAAACTAAATAAATTCTAGGTCAAATGTTTAAAAGAGATGACACAGAGCAAAGAGAACTGTCTTTCAAGCAATCAAGGCAAGAGCAACATTTAATTTGAATTCAGTGGGGAAAAAAAGACCACAACCCCACAACCTGAGACGTTCTGTGGCCTTGCAAGAACAAAAGAAATGCTAGTCATTTATGGACAGGGATTCTCAAGACTTTTGGTCCTGGTTGCATTACATACAGCTACCACTGCACAGGCTCCATTAAGTACAGCTACCACTGCACAAGCACACACTCTGTGTGAGACCAAACGAGAGCAGAAATGCTTAAAGAAAATGAGTCAACAACCTCATACATTTTTAAATTGAGTATGGTAGTAGAGGGATCAAAATTACTGAAACATTAAAATAAAAAGCTTCAAAAATTAGTACTTTTAAATTACTTCTAGTAAATGGGGAAGTATCCTGTGCATCTTACACAGATTGAAAGGTGTTAAGTAGAGCAATTTCTGTTGACAGTCACTCTCTTTATAGTATCTTCACTGACATACACAGCTGCATACTGAACATCAGCTAGCATCAGGCCTGATTTTCCACTAGATGTCTAACTGTATTGGAAAACTCACTGTGTTAGATGTTATGCACCTCTACAGCTCACAGAAATAACTCCAAAAATTAAAAATCCGCACTAGAAAGCAAAGTGACATAGGAGAAGCAGGGAATTAATGGACTGAGTTAACAGTAACACCCACCAGAAGGGAAAAGCAAGTACTGTTCTCTCATGATCTTGCTTATATTCATGAGTCATCTGAAAATTCTAACCAAACCTGAGTTGTCAAGGCTGCATGTCAAGCAAGCTCTGCTAGGCAGGTAGTGCCTATTCATCCAAGTTTAGGATGATGATGGTCCGAAAAAAATTATTTGCAATGCAAATTGTACATGAAAAGTGAGAGATATACTTAAAAGATAATACCTTAAAACACAGTAGACTACTCAAAAAAAGCACTGCTGCTGAATAACAAGTAACTTAGATAGACTATAGGGGCAAATAAAAGCTTATGTGGCCAGTGTCCCAGGCCTTCTAAAAGTCAGAGACACAGTTAAGTGCTACAGAAAGCCCAAGGTAGTAAACCCTGCTGAGAAGCAGTAAAGGCCTCTGCAGACATACTCACAGACACACCTTGGATTGCACTTCACAGCAATAATGTGAGTGATTTTCTTTTTTTTTTTTTAATCTGAACTAAGACCAGGGGACTAATGAAGCCAAGGTTAAACACAACTGGCCCATCACAAAAGGAAAGTTATGATGACAAAAGCAACAAGCTGCTGTATCACCAATATGTGAGCAGAAAGTGGCACTGATTTGCTCTGCAGAATTCATGATACAAGTTATGTACTCCAACGTGCATTATCACTTATGTGCAAAATTACTTTAAAATTGTAGAGAGGAAAGATGCTAGAAAGAAGTATTTTGCAGCACTGGCTAACAGCAAGTACTCACGTTCAGCAATTTGCTGCACAGGAAAGCCCAGATAGAAGCTGAACTCCACCACGGACAAGTTCCTCAGTTGCTCACTGACTTCGGACCCGTTTAGAAAACCGGATCTATCTCGGATGGCAAAAACAATGCTCACGGGGCCTTGCCGAAACGATATCCCAGGCCTGATCAGAGTTATGTTCAGTATCTGAAAAGACAGGATTGAAGCAAGGTCAGCAAAATCAAGTCACTGGCATTTTCATTCATTCCTTCACAGACTTTTTTCCCCACCTAATATGAAAAAGCGACAATTCACATCAAAAGAGAGGAACATCTGTTCCAGATTGGTTCTGCCTGCTGAACCTCTCAGAAGAGGCAAAGTTACATTCCTCTTCTAAGAGTTATCCTTTAAAGTCAGTCATAATCCAGAATGATCTGAAAGCTACTGTCCAGAAAATGATGAAAAAAACCACCTAGCAGGACAGTCAGCAAAATAGATCTAGTTGTAAAAAAAGTCTTAGATGAAATGCCAAACTGCATGGAACAGACAGGAAGGAATCATGGTAAAGAAACATTTTGAAAATGGATGATCTCTTGGTTAAAACCTCCTGCACCATGCACACCCAAACCCCACCACTGGTTAGAAGCCTTATTTTGGCAGCAATGTACACAGCAGCTGCGTTCATGTAGATAAACCTCCTCTAGACAGTAAGGAAGTATTTAAAATAAGTTTTCTAAGCTGATTGTCCAAGAAATGGTTCTGCATGTTCTGTCTTCAGTCTGTGCAGTCACATTGTGTCAGTTGTACATTTGTACAGTTCCGAGCCCTTTTCTATATGTACTACACAGTACCTTAAGTACTAGAAAGTTTATGCCATTTTTCCTCCTGGTTTTATCTCAAGGTACCAGAGATAGGCATTTATGGTGTCAGTTAAACAACATGATATAATTTTTACTGATTTTGGTATTGCAACAAAGTTAGATTACATTTAAGAACTCGGAAGAGGGAGTTGGTCTCATCAAACTGAATTACTGACTTTTCAGGGAGTTTTAACCTCTGCTGTGTGATTCAGCACCCAGCACATATGCAATACCTGTCATGTATGAAGTTCCAGCAGCAGCTGTCAGAGATATCATATACTGTAAGTATTTCTAGACCTCAGAAGCAACCAGCATGTTTGGTCACGTGATGGCAGAGTGCATATAACTCCTATATTCCCTCACAGAATCCCCTGCATGGCAATGAGACCTGAAAGTTGCCTTCCAACAAAAACTTTCTAACTACACCGTACTCTCTTATAGTAATATCTGATGGGAATTATTTTGATAAGGGTTGGAACAGGTTTTATTTGAAAAACTACAAACCCTGTCATATCCAATAATGCTTTTGCATATAAGTCATCATCTTGGGTCAGTCTTTCAAAAAGCTTGAAACCAGGGGGATATGTGCAAGTTGCAGTCAGTGAACACCTAACTCATTTTACTGTCTGGATTAAACACAGGACAACCAAAGGTGAGGAAAAAAGGGACAGACACAAAACATGCTTATCTTCTTACCTGCACAGTGAAGTTGTAGAACTCCTGGTGTTTGTTCACCTCCAGGAATGCCATTGTCAGCCCTTTCTCAATGCGCTGGCTAAAGTTGCAGAACCCAATATCCATATTTCTAGGTACAAACTGAAGCACTGAAGACAAAGGGCAAACATTATTCCTGCAGATAAGTATTTCCACGAGAAAGAATAAAACAAGCAACAGAATCCAAAGGGCTGTCATTTTTTTTTTCATGGAGCTCTGGACTTATTCAGTGAAACACTGGGTAAAAATACAGTAGAAATACATTTTGTGCTGTTGCAGTAAATTCTCAACTCACTAACATCTGTTGCAGCAGTAATTAGATTACTGAAAGATACTAGTGACAAAATACCTGTTGTTTCCTCCTGTATACTAAAAGACCTTCACTTCATACATGTGGTTAACTTCACATGATTTGAACACTAAATTGGCCTCACTGAGCCAACAGCTCCATGAAAATCTTCAGGGAAAAAAAAGCAACAAATATCTTTTGCTTGTAGTCTGAAATACAAGTATTTAGCTTGTCTAAAAAACCATGACTGCACTTTAGCATCACCCTAACACTTTCAAAATACTAAATTAGCACATAATCTTTTAAATTTAGATACATTTTAAAGTCTTTCAGAGGAGAGAAAGAGCGAGCACAGGAGAGAAACACTGAGCATAGGGGAATGTGATCAGGTGCACAGACTTAACTACATGCACATCTGTGGATTTCCACAGTCTTACCCCAAAAAAGCCATATTAGGTTACAGACCCTAATAGCAATGTTGTACCAGGTTAAAGAACAGAAAATATGTCAACTGCCTATCTATATAACCATGTTAAGCAGTGGAAAAAGACATCACACCTGTACAGTTGAAGAAGTGATGTCTTGCAATACAATTATTAACAAAAGCAAAACCAACAAATGAAACATAGCCAAATAACAGTACTATATTGACATTTATTACCTCTCTGCCTGTATGCTCAATCCCTGTCACTACCTCATTACACAGTCAACCAACCAGGTAGGCAGTTTTATCATGCAAATAGGACTTGGAAGATTTTAAATGACACCATTGATTCTCAAAATCTGTTACACGGGTGTTATTTTGCTTTAGATTATTAGTAGTCATGAACTTCACATAAACTGCTGCAATACAGCAGCCATGGAAAGCTAAATACTACATAAGCAATCCTACTGCTGACATACATGAGCAATCAATCCTCCTGCTCACCAATTCTCCTACATTATGACAACACAAAAAAGTAGCATTTAACATGAACTTAATTTGAAACTTGACACAGGCATTACAAAGTAGGTGCACTATGATTTTATGAATAAATATTTCACAGCATATTTTTCTCTTCTTGCCTTTTGAAGCAAGAAAAAGAGCACATCTATTTCGCAATGTACTAAAAAAGAAATTCCTGAAAAAATCATGAAATTATGGGGTTAGCAGTTTACAATTTATCATCTCTCAACCACGGACCTGTCAAGTCTGTCACTAAAAATGTAGAATTAAGATTCATAACAGTAGAACACAGGGTTTTGACTCAATCTTGCATACGTAATCACAAGTGAAGAAGTGTGAATCAATATGAAGCTACCTTTCCCCCTCTTTGTATCAGGAGGTACTCACCTGTCTGAACTTGAAATCTGTTGTCTGGCACAGTGAAAGAAGGATGCAGTGAGAGGATCATGGGGGCCTCACCACGAAGGAGACTGCTGTTCACAAGTACATTTATGACAGCTATTGCCGTGTAAACAAAAGGACCTGATGTCACCAAGAAAGCAAATTTGGGGGAAATTTTATAAACCTACCAAAAAAAAAGAATCAGAAATTAAAAAAACATAACAAAACTTCAATGTTAAATTTGGCAACATTTCAGACCTACATAGTCTCAGGTAGTTCAAAGCCACATTGTCAAGAGGTAGGAAACCGCAATCTTTACTTTCAAACAGCAGCAGCAGCACATGCGCTATGTTAGTGCTGTGCCTTGCAGCCTCTGCTCCACTGTTGCATCTGAGAGGCAACTCCCCTGTGCTAGGTACAACTACTAGAATCTCTTCAGTACAACACACCAACCTCAACGCTTCTTGATTTATCACATCCCTACATAGTAGCACTCCCCCTCGCCTGCATTCCCCTGGAGTACATAATATTTTCCATACAAAACTTCTGTTTACTTACTGAACTGCTTGCGTGGCTTCTGCAGTTCAGTCATATACTGCATAGGGAATATCTCCTATGCCACTCACATCTGACACACAAGGAGTAAAATACACATAACCTATGTTTTATGGATATAATTTTCACACTCAAGAACACTTTCTTCCAGGGAACACCTCTATCTGCTTATTTCAACACAGTTACCACAATTAAGTTTTCCTCTTCCAATTCACATCTTGACTTTGAGTCTTCTTAAAAACCCCGAGGAGCCTTAGACATCATGCAAAAGAAGTGAGATTTTAATATAAACCTTGTTTCCATGCAGACACTATTTTCTACTATTTTTCAGTCACCTAAGTAAGAACAAACTGAAGGGGTTTATTTCCCCAGTATTATTTTCTTCTTCTTTGGTTTATTCCCCCAGTTTGCTTTATTTCCCACAGGCAGTCACATTTCAAAATATTTTGAGGTGTCCAACATGATGGCCTCACAGATAAATAACCTAGAGACCTCAAGGTTCTAATAAATATGGACCTCTTAGATGAAGAGATGCTAGTGCCTTGCAGGTGCTGAGATGGCGAAGGGATTTGTTAGATACCTTCAGCTTCAGAATCAGCCTTATAGAAAAGCACAGTGTTGCTTAAGTTGTGACCCACATGTTTCTTACTGGTATTTCTGCTGTAGTATAAAGTGATGGCAACTGCTGTTTAGATGAGACAGCAAGCAGCTCTTTCCTGTCCTCTAAAAAGCATGCATTTCAGAGAGCTCATCTTCATCAGAAGAAAGTACCTCAGTAGCAGAAGGAAATGAGAAAAATAATCTATGCTGCTCATTATGCCTTTCTTCCTTCTTAGCCCACAAATATATGCAACATCCAGCTTTTATTTTAAATGGATTTAGGTCCATAAAACTCAAATTTGTTTGATATGAATAATGTGCACAGTTCTTTTCAGTTCCTCTTATCTGAAATTTTATTCTTTTATCTCATGATGAAATAATCTCTGCAGCTTCAGTTTGTCAAATGGAAACAGCAGTTATAATGGGGAACACATGGCAAAAGAAGTTGCCCATTACTTGCAAACGAGACTACTTAAAAGGCAAGAAAAAGAGGAATTAGAATTACAAATTTCAGTGACAATTTGCTGGTGATTTCTGAAGGAATATATGCTGAGGAAGAGAGGCCTAGTGCAGCCAGCATATACTTATGCACTAGTTAAGTATTTCAGACACAAAAGCAAGGTCTGATAACTAACTCAGCTACCTCCATCTCTGACTGGCTGCACTGCACCCTAGAGGCCAGGGTAGCCTGAACATCCCCCCTGGAATTTTGCATTAATTTTTTCAGCTTAACAGCTAACACTGGTTGCCTTCTGTGCTTCGCTGCACCAGAAAAGTTGCAGCAACTCCAGAAAGGACATCGAAAAACCCCCACTTCTAAAAGTAATTTTGAGGTAGGCAGATTAGAACAGCTACAAGTCAAAACAATAGTTATTTCTGCTTGAGATATAACAGGGTTGTCTAGAGTTAGCTCTCTACAACCTAATTCATGTGACAGAAATAACAGACCCATGCCAGCCTACAAGCTAATTCAGAGAGAAGTCTACAAATTTACCTAGGATAGATGAGCACAGCTCATGACTCTCGATTTGTGATTCATGAATGAGAATAGCTGCTCTTGGCACAGCTCTAATGGTTCACAAACCCAGCTGTCCATCCAAGTTTCACCTCTACTGCCAGGACAGCTAGATGCAAGCAAATTAGGTAGCTGAACCATTCACATTTTAGAGTATCACCTATTAAAGTACACAAGTACAGATTTCTTACATTAAACAAGTACAACCTTTTTATCTTAACACTTTGGGCCAGAAAGTCAGAAAAACATGCAAAACTTCACGTGCACTGTGAAGCCATTCCCACAGTAAAAGCAGAAACCTTCAGTAGGAGCAGAGAACCCCTACAACACCTAAAGTTAAGCTAACCCTTCTCCAAAGCACGTCTAACTCAACTCTGCTGTTTTCAGGATACAACCTATCTCATTCCCAGCTACCCCTCACAGGAGACAGTGCTGCTAGTACAGAAAGTTTTCAAGCCTCAGTTTACCAGAGGCTAGAAGAGTATTTAGGAAAAATATCACTGTATCCTTACTCTGTCCCTTATGATGTTCTCAAAGCATTTCCTATTGAATTACTGTTTGCTGAAATATTTGATTAGATGCACCTTTGCCACAATCTAATCCATGCCCACACTGCACTGTACTATGCTGTGTAAACATCTGGCAGAAAGCATGAACAACCAATTTCCTCACTACCACCTTATTAAGCATCCTGTAAAGAACCTGCAGAGAGTGTTTAACTTCCTGAACATGGACTACAAAGGCTTACAGGTTTTAAAAATGAAACAATGCTTCTGCTTCCATGCACTTCAAGATCCTAAGGCAACAATTCTCACTGTTTTTACACACCTCAACGATACCAGCCAGAACTTCAGCAGCAGTGAGCAGAGATGAAGCCAGGACGAGTCCACAAGGTGGCATCTCTGAAAGGAGTATTTAACTGCCTGACAATGAACTGAACTCCTTCCTTTGGAGGCAGAGTGTACTGATTTTGGATTACAGAACCCAATAGGTTAAGAACACGCCCCAAACTGCACATTAAATACAACAACAGAGTGGCTGAGGTGTACACTATACCTCATGATAAAATTTCCAAGCACAAATGAGGCTGGTAAAAACCTTTTTCCCGTTGGCATGAACTTAATGGCACCAGGGGTCCTGGCAGCAAGTCACTGCCAACACTATTTTATTTCACACCCCACCGCAACAAGTCAAGTCAAGGGAACGTTGTATAACAGATTTTACTCAAGTGTCATAAGGTTTACATTAGAGAAAGTTGACAAAAATTACTCTTATTCAGACATTACGTCTTATTCTTTTGCAGATGCAGTATGTTGAGACCAACTGAAAAGAACTTTGAAATTTTAGGTTATTCTCACTTCGCTGTAAGGACCTTTGCTAGGAAAAAATTGAAAAAAGTTTTTTTTTTTCTACTTGGCAGGATTCAAGCCTGCTTCTTTTTTTTTTCTTCCACTTCAACAACTCACAGTGTTTGAAATAATAAAAAAGGAGAAACCAAAGCTGCAACTGAAAAAGTTGGTAAAAAATTTTTTAGTTCGCCTTTTAGTGTTAAACTTGTTTCCTATTTAAAGTGAGCAGCAGTTATAGTCATCATTGAGATGAGTTTTATTTTTAAAGCATATACTACTACAAAGTCAAATTTAACTAGACTGTCTCCTGATTTACTGTACATTACATCACAGCAAGGGAACATCTGTGAGCTGTAATACGAGACACAGTAAAAAAGCAGCTTAGAGAAGCTATACCATAACTTGCAAACATACACATGGTTTCTGAGTACTCTTAACTAAAAAAAGTCAGGTCTGTTGGACTAATTAAGTTTAGCAAGATGGACAAATTCTGTTTAAAATTCTGCATTACATCACCATTTGACATACTGCTATTATAGGCAGTTCTTTTTTTTAAACAACAGTTTTGTTAGTATTTGACTGTTAGAGGTGAAGACATTTGCCAGTGATTATTTTTAGTGCAAAACCCACACCCAAGGCATCACAAAGAACACATAAGACAGCAGCATTCTAGCATAAAATAAGCAAAACTGATTCCACAGAGATGTTTCTTCCTTTTCATAAAAAAGATTTTGCAAAGAATGAAGCTAGACTAACTAAATTATTTATAAAAACAGATACTTCTGAGAAGCCTTAGGACTTCTCAGAAGCTTTTCCTATTGAGAGCTTTACAAGGTAATAGTAGGCATGACAGGAAGGAATTTAAAGGGCAAAAATACAAAACAGTATATCAAATGTTTGTTCCAATCAGCAGTCAAATATTCAGCAATGGATTTTGTCTTACTGCTGTTAATATTAAGAAGGTAAGTGCTTCCATATTACTGAGTTGCATAAGGTCACTGGAAATCAGTGTAGTTGTATCTTCATGAACTTTTGACCTCTTGACTACACCAGTTTGCACAATCTGAAAGTATAATTCATAAACTAGAAGAAAAATCTCTTATATAAAAAAACCCTGAAAAAGTTCATGAGCAGATATTGCCAAAAGGAGTTAAGCTAGACATAATTCATAGTGGCAGCTCACTGTAACTGAAGTTTGGCAGAAATTCATAACACTCCTATCTTGACTGAGTAGTAGAGAGGTATATTCTCAGGCAGGAGCTGTTAAATTACTGAGTGCAGTGATTATGGGAAGTGCAGAAGTTAAAGGCACCAAGGGATTCTGTGTATGGAGAAACTCAAGTTATGCTCAACATTCAAACTGCTCCTTGAGTTAATTTCATAATGGAAATGAGATCATTGACTCAGAAAAGATAATGTGGTGCTTGGCTATGACAACTAGATGAATACAGTTATGAAAAACTGCAACCGCAGCTGAACCTCATCAACACCAGCAATTCCATTACAATATTTCCTTTTGTCCCCAGTGTTGAAGTAGATGATTGTACAACAAAGGTACATCCAAACTACCTCTACAGTCTTTTCCCACCTGACAGAGAGTTTGAGATAGAGGTGGGGAAGAGAGACTTTAACCCTCATCTCAACCAGTCAGTCACCTGGAGGTTTGAAAAGAACACTGATACGTTGTTCAAAGAAGATTCCTTGAGTATCAAAGCAGAGGAAGCTTTCAGAAAAGTCCAACAGCACAGCAATTTCTAGCCCTATGAGTGGGGGAAGGACAGGAGTTACACATATCTAAAGGCTTAAAAATAATGTCTTACGATTGCACACCTGATTTTTTTCATCTGCTTTTTTCATCTGCCAAATCATGCATTTGGGATCCCACCACCTCCCCTGCAAGTGTTGATGGCCTCACTTACAACATTAAATAGCACAAGTTTGTGCAGAAGATTTGGTTTTATTTATACTGCTAAGTATATAATCAGCTAGCAGAACGAACAGAATTTTTGGAAGGGTAAAGGTTCTTCAGTTCAGTTTCAATTCACCAGCCAAAGGAGGTGAGCAGTGGAGTCTGGACACTTCTTGCTCACCTCTGGCAAAACCAAGAAAAATCTGTCATAGAAAATGATGACATTCTAAAAGTAAAAAAGCTGACATCACATTCACATTAAAAAACCCAACCACAACACAACTAACATTCAAGTTAAAATAAATCTCTCTCTGATACAATACCTCATGGACTGTTTGAATTACCATTTCAGTTTGTGAACTAAACTCACTATTGTATGACACTGATCAAAGAGTACTTGTGCACACTTCATACCACTTACCTCTAACTCTACTGATCTCCTGAACTGAACTCTGAGCACTTCTCTGATGGATTCACTGACATTTCGTAGAACAGCTCTTCGGGCCAGCACTAGAAATTAATGTCAGTCAGTAAATACATTTTAGCTTCATCTGTTGGGTTTTGATTCAAAGCTGCATTTTCAATTGGGGAATGCATGAAAAAGCAGGCAATGAGATCAACTGCATCAAACAGGTAAGACAACAGACAAGGAAACAGGTAAAGGTGTGACTGTATCCTAAAAAGTGACTGTACATAAAGTTTAAGGAACTCCAGGTTTATTTTCTCTCCCATTTTGTTTTTTCATACCTAATGTCTTTAAAATTCTAGTAAAAGAATCTTCTAGAGAGCCACTGAGGCACTCAAATGGGATCTGAAAGTAACAGCACATTCAGTCTGACCTGTGCACAACAAGCCTGCTGCCACAACACAGTTAAAGTTTGGTAGGCAATGCATGGAATGCAGATGAGGTCAGAAAAAAGCCACAGAAAATATGGATCTACTTTTCTCCTAAATAGAGAGTAAACAGATGTGACACTAATTAATGAAAGGAATATCCACAGAGTAAGAAACGGCTCTAAAATCCCCACATCCCAATGGATGTCATGTCTGTTACAGTCACGCTTGCCACTTTGACTATGGGTTAAGCAAACAACTGAGGAGTGTCATGTTGTCATCCTGCAGTTACTTTCCATCAGTTACTTGCCTACAAAACTACTCAAATTACAGGTTTAAAAAAAAAGTCTTCCTCATCGCTAGCATAGCTAGATCACTTACATACCTGGAGGATGAGATTATGCTCATTCTGCTTTACATATTACAATTAAATCTTAAGGGTAAAATGTGTTGCTTACCACAGAACATGCAGCACTTCTGCAGCTGCCCTGGATTAGTTTGCTGGTATTGTTTTGTTAACAAGCCAGGAAGAGGTAGGAAAACACCAGAAAAGCAAACACAGATGCTAAGACAATTAATTTTGAAACACATTAATGTCACTTTTTCTGGTTACAAACACACCAAATCCAATTGAAAGTAAGTACGGGAGGAGGGAAGATATAAATATAAGCTAGTAAGGGGAAAATTATAAAAATGGTAGTGAAACCCAAACATTTTTTAAACCAGTTCTCCTCTTACATATTACAACATTACCTCACATGCAGGTGGTTTTTTTTTTTACAAACAGCAGCAACAACTGAAAGGAGAAACTTACTCAGTCAGAACATTTAACATTTTGGCAGAACAGTACCATGACAGTAACATTCATTTACGACCCATGAAATGATAAAGCAGCCTCTAACTCAGCATACTCGTACATACGCATCAGCAATTTTAGAAGACAATTTAATTCTCTGTGCAGTGTAAGGTATATGTAACTCACTACTAAAATGGACTTTACTCAAGTGAATTCTATTATTTTTAAGAGTAAATGATAAATCAATGCTTTTACAGCTCTTTGTCTAAATTGACACCATATTTCTTTGAAAGGTTCACTTAGTTAAGTCAACATCTGCAATTTAGCTAGGGGGTCACATTACTGTGGCCTCTAAAAAAAAACCAAAATAAAAATGTTAGGAATATCTTACCTGCAGTGACTAAGTAAGCATCGGGAATGGTGATGTCGCAGACATATGGCTGCCTGGTAGTAGTCACAGCAGAAGTCACAACCACCAGTTCAGATGGAGTAGTGGTTGCCACAGGGGTGGAGGAGAATGTCCCTGGGCTGCCTGCAGCAGCTGTGCCATGGCTGCCTGTAGCACTGGTGACAGCGGTCGTGGGGACACTGGTGGAAGGAGCTGATGCATCAGTGCCAGCAGTTACACTGCTTCCTGCTGGAACTTCATATCCAGTGGGAGGGCTAGAAGTTGGAGGAAACTGTGTGGGAGTAAATGCCGCAGTCACAGACAGAGATGTTGTAGGAAAGGGCATCACGCTGATGGTGCTGGTGGCTGATGTGAGGTTGTCAGGGTCTGTGGGAGGAAAGGCTGTGGGAGCACTGCCCTCGCTGCGAGATGTTAAAAGCAGCGTGGGGTAAACTGTAGCACCAATATCCTCATCAGAAGCCAGTGCAGTTGAGAGCAGAGATGAAGATACATTTAAGACAGGAGTTGCTGGAAAGGTAGTAAACAAAGAGACCAGATTTGTTTCGCTGAGCAAGATGCTGCTGGTAACAGACTGGGTGTCCGAAGTGGGCAGCACCAGGGTAGGAACCACGGAGTGAGAGGTGGAGAGTGAAGGCTCCAACTGAGAGGTAGCTCCTGTAACAGCTGAGGTAAATACAACTTCAGAGCCCACTGGCAGTACCGAGGGTGCTTCCAGAAACACAGATGACCCAGAGGGAAAATCTGATGATGGCATTATTTCAGGAACATGTGCATCTGGAAGGGATGATACATTTGAATAAACGTATGATGTTTGGCCGAGATGTAACTGAGAAACCTTGGTGTCAGTGGCAGAGCTGACAGTGGCAGCTAAGTCCCAGCTGGTAACATCCTCAGAAAGTACTGATGTCCCAGTCAACAAGATCTGAGGTAAGAGTGTTGATAAATCACCTTGCCTGACAGAGTAAGAATCTAGCATGGTCGATGATAAAGATAAGTAGCTAGATTCAATAAGAAACGGTGTTGATAAAAGACTGGATGGAAAATCTGAAATCTTTAAAGATGGTTCCTCACTTGTAGATGTCTTGTCAAGCAAAACCACAGATTCTGATGGCATTAATTCTGGCAATTCCAGCAAAGTTGTCCGACTGATTGAAAACGACGCTACTGGCTCACTCGGGATGATGGTAGAGTCCAACACAATGGTGGTGGCACCAGGAAGTTCCACATGAGTGCTTAGTGTCAATGAAATTGTTTCCAGAATAGGGAGGGACTGGGCAACAGAGATATTCAATGGCATTCCTCCAGGGAGCTGATGGTAGGAAGGAGAAATGGTTATAGGTGTTCTAGTGCCTGTAGTGCTTACTAAAATGCTTGAATCAGGGATCTCTGCGAACCTTGAAGACAATGAAACAACTGGTCTTGATGGAAAAGAAGTATCAAAAATCTCAGGTGTAGGTTCCTCTAATTCATACCCATCAGTAATTATGCTTGTAAATGGAGTTACGCCTTGTACCTCAGAGGCTTTGATGGACATAGTTTCAACATAATCGCCTGAGCCCACATCATGTTCCGGGGAAAAGCCTGCTTCTGGCAGAAGTGAAACTGAGTCACAATACAGGCAGTAACTGTATGATCTCGTGAAAGGCACTGGACTCATGAGCTCACTGACAAGCTCTGATTGACTTGGTATTTCTGAACCGGCAGGCAAATTTGGTGCTGTAGTGGAGAATTCACGTGTAAACAGGCTGGCATTAAGAACTGTATTAGAGTTCCTGGAAATGGCAGCTGAGTTAAGTGGGAAAGACACAAGTGGAAGACTAATAGGAAAAAAAGCAGGCGCAGCACTGGCTGCTGAAGTTGGCATGGCCCAGGGAAGGCTTGGAGTGGGGTATGTCCTCAGACTGAGAGATTCTGCTGCCTTGGTACTCCCATCGGTGTAAACGTCACCATACAGGTCTGCACTTTGTGCTGTGGCATCTGGGATCTCAGGGCTAGTTTTACCCAGCAGTTTGAGATGAAGAGGCAATCCTTCTGAAGCAGTCCCAAAAGGCAGAGCTGTTAAACTCGCATTAATGTTTTCCTGTGCCACAACTCCACTCTCTGAAGGGAAGGAAGTGAAATGAATAGCTGCATTTGGAGGGTACAACAGCAAGTCTCTGCTTGCTGTTAGCGTTTCACGATCTGGTACAAAAGGCTTTAGTTCTGTAAGAGTGTTACTGCGTTCGGGGACAGCGCTCAACGGAGTCTTCTGCTGTGCTGTTTTTGAGATATCATATGGCGAAAAAAGGACAGATAATGAAGGTGTTAGCAACACAGTTTCTAACATTTCTCTTGATGGCTCTACTGTATTAACTGAGTGATGATCTGTTAAAACTGCAAAAGATTTCAGCGGAGGAGTCCACTGTGCCTTTGAAAACGAGCTAACAAATTCATTGTCACTTAAGAACGCCTCATTGCTTGTTACGGAGACATCTACCAACAGCGTACTTCTCCCTTCTGAAATCCTGGCTGTTTCTTCTTGGCTAAGTAAAGTCACATCAAAGGAAGTGGTAACTGATGATAAAACCGTTTGAAGCAAATTACTTTCTTGGGACTTCAAATCACTATTTGCTAAGGCCGTTTGTGTCCTGCTGCCTGATATGCTTTCGTGCACCTTTAAGTCCATTGAGAAAAAGGAAAAATTCTGCTGTCCCAAGGATCTTTCATCTAAGTAAAGAGGGAGAGAGAAAAACAAAAGCCAACAGATTGGTACAAGTAGTAAGATCACAATGAGCATACCTCACACACAGTATTTCTGGAGACAAATGCCCAGAATTCAAGGGTGAAGACAAAACCTCCGTGACCAAGTCAGATCAGACAAATCATAAGATTCCCTGTGAAACTCCATTTCTTGGAAGTGAGCCAGGCAACACAAGCTCCTCTCACTCTGCACTGACTTGTCTCTACAGCAGCACTCTACTGAGCCCCATGGACGGTCAGAAAGTGACTCCCTCTTACCTATGCAAGGCTACAGTGTGTGGCAGCAAATGGTCTCACAAAGTACACACACCAAAATTTTACATAACTTTAGATATGCTGTTTTCCTTTCATATCACTTCATTTCCTCCAGTTATATTACTTCTTCATATTTTATATATATGTATATATATATCTCTCACTAGAAGATCTATTCTCTTTCAAGGACCAGATCCTCCTCAGAAATGAGTAACACTTATGAGAAATGAAGAGGGGTCCCCTTTACAGAAGGCAAATGTGGACCTGGTATCAACCACACAAATTTCCTAAGTAACATGTCCACTAGTTACACTTACATTGTCCACTATTCATCTCAAGTCTGGTCTGTTAGCAGTGACAAATTGCTTCATTACACAGTTGTCACCTTTATTCACAGCCCTCTACATGACTGCTCTGTTTATGGGCCACCTGTAATAAAACTTTCACTGCTCCAGTTTCCAGAGTTCAAGTACTAATGGCCAGGGGAGAAGAAAAAGCTAAGAATTCACTAGATACTTTAACAAAATACTCTCCTCTCTCACAAAAGTGTTCTTGGGTTACAGAGAAGATCTGTATATAAGCTTTTCCAACCACGGATGAGTTTTGCAGAGAAATGGTTGATTATTGCTTGAATACTTTCCTGAAATACCAAGACTGGATTAATAGCATTCAGAGCTGAATTATTAAAGGAAATCACAGAAAATTGCTGTAGAATATTTTTCAAGGACACCCACAAAAGGTTCATCCTTAATTCATCTATCCCACTTGACCATCCTGTTTTCATATAGGAGTGTCCAGGCACTGCTGCTGGACACACATTAACAAGGCTGGGGGTGCAGGAATCACATCCAGTTAAACCACCAGGGATCAGTTTAAAATAAAAATGAGCATATACAGTACAGGGGGCTGGACAGTGATACAGTACACAGCTCAACTGCAACTACATCTGTGACCCTTTAGAGGATGCCTTGAACTCAGTAACGCATGGAAGGTCCTGCAGGAATAGCTCATCTAATCTGTTACCCACTGTTGTCAGTATAACACCACTTACCAAAGGTGATAAACTGCTCTCCTTATTCCCTCCACCCTGATCTGTTTACTAAACTTTTTGACAGAACTTTTTAAGTGCTGACACACCAACTTGATAAGTTTTGAAGGTGCTGCTCTGAAAAGCACAATGACAAGAATTAATGCACAGAGCAAATACCACTGTACCACTAATCACACCTAACCAAATAGGAGTGCTGTGATTACATCCCTTATTTGACAGATTTCATGGACAATGTTTTGCAGCACTGCAGATACTAATCTCTCAAGTAGTCCCAGTCCATTTTTAGCTCCTGAAACTCACTGTAGGCATTACTAGCTTTATGATGCTTAGCTGTGGTATAAAATATATTGCCTTACAATGCTCTCAGGTGAAGGAGAAAAAAAAGAAAAAACACTCTTGTAAAAGCTATGTAAGACAAATACACAAGTCCATCCTCAACCTCTTCCATAGAGGTCTACTGTTTGAACACAGTACAGCGCAGCCATCATGGAATAACAGCTTTCACAAGGAGTTAACACAAGTAACACAGTTTCTCACAAGCACAGGACCAAAAACATATGCTGAGCCAGCTCTGTTTGCTGACCAAAAGCTGTTCCATGTTTTTTCCTCACTAGAAGCCTCCCTGGCCTTGGCTCCTTTCTTTGACTTAGGCTTCCAGCCTTTATTTTTCTCTTTGTGACATTTTGAGTAAGCAAGGAGTTACTAAAGGAAAATACTTACAAAGCTATGAAACAACCACTGTCAAAATTAATCACTTCTCTCCCTATATGCATGCACAGTTCCTTTTAGCCAGCCCTGTAAAATCCTGTCCACCTTGGTCACACTTTGGACACCCAGCCCTTGCTTACAGTGAATTCCACACTGCAGGCAAACATGCTAACAGAGAAAGCAGTTCTTGCTCATGATGGCTTCATGCTGCAAATCCCTGCAGCAGTACACAAGGCAGCTGTGTTAGCTTCAACACAACATATGCACGGTAAATGCAGAGCTGATATACCTGACAGCTAATATGATCAGGCAAAGGTGAATACACACTAATTAGTAACTGCACTTTTGATCACACATTTCCACAAATCTTTGACCCAAAGTTAGCGGGGATTTCACAACTTTACTGCCTATACATGCCTATGCTGCATATCAATTTCCTCCTTCACCCATAGAGAGCTCCTTTTATCTTTGTTCAACTTGATCAGGAGCTGTCATATGGCAAGATCCTGCTGGAAGTGACTACATGTCACAGAAAGATGTTTTGAAGAGTTACGTGCACAACCATAAGCTGTCTAACAGACATGCAGAAGAGGCAAGGCCAATCTTGGCTTTAAATTCTTTCTGACTTTAGAATTAGCTTTTGGGGTGGTTTTTTGTTTGTTTGTTTCTTTGGGGTTTTTTGTTTGGTTTTTGGATTTTTTTGACAGTCTGGTATTTTTTCCTTGAAAGACAAAGTAATAGTAAATAACAATTTTATCATACACTTGTGCCTCCTAATGTAAAGAATATTGCCACTGATGCCAGGAAGGAAAGAATACAGCTTCTGAAGCAGGTGTTTCGTTTTATGAAGGAAAACACACTGTGTCATGAAAAAGTTACAAGCTATAAGACAAGCTAAGAGCAGTGCTACTTGAGTTAAGTGGAATGGGAAAAATTCATCTGTGCATATAGGATTTTGAAACAACTCCTCACCAGTAAGTTCCGGAGTTGATGTTCCACACTATTTGCTTTGCTTAGTGTTTTAGAAGCAGGGAGCATTAGTGACATGCCATTAATAACACAAATTGGTGTTTTCTGTCATCTCCAGAGAACAGTGTACCACTTGAATACTGCTTGTCAGAACTGAGCGTGCCTCTCAGGGAGAGCAGATGGGACGCGTGGCAGATGTGCCTGGGAGCAGCCAGACAGTCCACAAAGAGTAAGGAAAAGCAAAGGAAAAAGAGACGGAAAAGGCACACCATGGCATGACAATCGCCCTCATCAGTGCAGAGTGGCCGATCTGGCTATAGCATGGGACAAAGAAAGCAGACAGATTGCACATGTTCTGGTGCATCTCAATGCCACGACTGCACAAAGCTATTGATGAATATCAATGCTGACTTGTTTGTTTGCACAGCTGCTACTGTCGGGTGACAGTTTCCCCCGTACTGCCGTTGAGTGAGGCAAAGGGGACAGGCTGATGATCAGACAAGCCAGACTCGGCCAAGCTGATAACATTATGAAAAAGAATAGATAGCTTAGGGAACAAAGCTGTGATCCCAAGCTACAGCAAAGGGGAGGAAAGGCGAGCACTAGTGGCAGGGACCACAGGAGGCACAGATGGCACCAGTACAATGCCTCAGCTCAGACAAGGGCACAGGAGGAGCAACAGCATAGGAAGTGTGCTGGTGGGCTTGGGGTGATGAACTCTCTGCTGCTTCTGCTGTCTCCCAAAACTGATACGAGTCACAAGCAATTCACGAGTAATGAAACCTGTCACTGAACACAACAACCCCTTTAACTGCCAGATCCATAATTACAGAAGCACATCCCTGCACCAGTAATGCCGGCGCGGACTTGTGTGAATTTGAGAAGCACAGCACTTCCTCATGACTACAGCAAAGGACTGCTGCAGTCCATAGACTTCTTTGGGAACAAAAATATACCATCTCTGCTTGCCAGAAAACTATGTGTGTTCATAAACTAGGAACTAGGCTAGTCATTTTTCCAGAAAGCAATTAGAGGGATGCAGATTTCATCCTTCCTGTAGTTGCAGTGCTAAAAAGTAATGTCTGTTCTATAATCTATAATAATAATTTAAAAAAGTTTCAAATACATATTTGTAATAATATATGTACATAATCAAGTGCTTTCATATTTTCTTTAGTTATAATAAATACACGTTCATATATTTTTAAATGCAGGATGCAGATGTAATCTCACCTCTGCCACTGATATCTCATGTGACTTCAAAAAAGTTGCATCATTTCTCTGCACTCTCCTATTAAAATGTGGCAATTGTACAATATCACAATTCTCAGTATCTACTAAAATGTAGGTAATTTTCTATATTATGAAGACGTTAAACTATAGATGAAAGGTACAGTCATGACAACAACAGAGAAATCTTTACTTGCGATAAAATTAAACCTTGAGAATAGAACTAATAATTTTCATTTTGTCACTTTTGAGAAACCACATAATTGCTAATAAAGTATACAAACATCAGAAAGTGCCACTAGACTCTTCTGTGCACTAACACAATGATATACAAAATTAAATTCTAGTAGCTTTATCTTTTAGGCATGAAGAAAAATTGCTCTTTTATTGCTGCCCATTGTTTCAAACTGATGCATTTTAGGTAGAAAGGCAGCCAATGTTACATACATTCCAAATATTATGGGAAAATTCATAAATAACTATGTAACAACAGCTCCCAAATTATTGAAATTAAAGCTATGAACTCACTAGGCACATTCACCACTTGAAACAGCTCCCTGACTATGGGGTAGAGTAGCATAACACATTTAAGGGAAGCTTTTAATAACACTTTAAGTTTTTCCTTGAGAAATGGAAAGTAAGAAATTGAAGTTACTGAACACATCACAGGATGAGACCACCCAAGGGTAGAGAAAATGATGGATGAAAATGTATTTTAGAAAAATCGTAACTCTTCCTTCCT